ACAAAACATTAAACTTTAATACTTTGTCTCCTTAATGACACTTTAAAACCATTAATTTATTCATTTGTACTCGAAAAACGTTACACTATCAAGATATAATAGATTGATATTGTAAGATATAATAGATGGTTTTACTTGCTTTTAAGATATAATAAATGGAGTACATTGTAACGTTTTTCGAGTTTTGTCCTCTTAATGACACTTTAAAACCATTAATTTATTCATTTTACACTCAAAAACATTACAATGTGCTCCATCTATTATATCTTAAAAACATTTGATGCTTTGTCTCCTTAATGACACTTAAAACCATGAATTTATTTATTTTGCTCTCGAAAAACGTTACAATGTGCTCCATGTATTATATCTTAAAAGCAACATCTGTTATATCTTAAAAGCAAAATGAATAAATTCATGTTTTTAAGATATAATAAATGGAGCACATTGTAACTTTTTTCGAGTGCAAAATGAATAAATTAAGAGTTTTCTTTGTCTCCTTAAGGACACTTTAAAACCATTAATTTATTCATTTTGCACTCGAAAAACGTTTACTTGCTTTTAAGATAACCACATGCATTTAATGCAAAGAAACCATATGCTTTGTCACCTTTAATGCAAAGAAACCATATGCATTTAATCACCATATGCATTATATATGCAAAGAAACCATACGCTTTGTCTCCTTTAATGCAAAGAAACCATATGCTTTGTGACCTTTAATGCAAAGAAACCATTTGCATTTAATCACCATTATGCATTTATATATGCAAAGAAACCATATGCATTAAGGAGACAAAGCATTAAAGGTGATTAATTTGAAGAGGAAAGAAACCATATGCATTTATATATGCAAATTAAAGAATCTTCATGTGCTACTTCTTCCAAATATAAGGACTCCCATATTTATTTGGTAACTTTGTGCTTGATGTGTTATTTTTTTGAGAATAGAGTAAGAAGAAGTTACAGAGCGTGACAATAAGACTAGGTAAGAAAACTTTATCCACTAGGTCAACCTTTAGTCGTTTGTTATTTGTTTAATTTGAGATGGAATTTTGGTTCATACTCTTTGCATCTCTCTGTCTTTGTATTTCTCTGCATTCCCTCCTAAGTCTTTTACACACTAAAAAACTTCCACCAGGCCCTCCTACCATACCCTTCTTAGGTAACATACTATGGCTTCTCAAACCTCTCAAGATTTCTCCAACTTGGAACCCATCCTCCGCCGGCTACGCACCAAACATGGCCCCATTCTCACTTTCCATATCGGTTCACGGCCTTCCATCTCCATAACTACTCATGAACTCGCCCACCGAGCCCTAGTCCAAAATGCCACTATCTTTGCCAATCGCCCACAAGCTATCGAAACCACCAAAGTTATCTTTAGCAACCACCGCACTGTTAGTTCTATGGCCTACCGATCATTCTGGAAGGTTCTTCGCCAAAACCTTGCATCTATCTTGCATCCTTCTCAGTTAAATGTATACTCTGGTGGTCGTAAATGGGCATACGACATTAAAAAAAGAACTACTAGACATAGTTGAACAACCAGAATCAAGAAACAAGGCTATCCTTGTTCAAGATCATTTTCAATATGTTGTGTTTTGTTTACTTGCCTACATGTGTTCTGGAGAGAAACTAGAAGAGAAGGTGATAAGAGACATAGAGGCGGTGCAACAACCGGTCCTTGCCAATTTCATAAGATTCAATGTGCTCAACTTCATGCCAAGGTTGGGAAAGATTGTGTTTCGAAAGCTTTGGAAAAAACTCTTGGAGATTCGAAAGAAGCAAGAAGATGTCCTCGTTCCACTCATAAGACAACGTCGAAAGAAAATAAACAATACAAAAGAGAGAGAGATGAAGGTGAATCCATTGTCTCCTACGTCGATACCCTTTTTGATCTCCGACTTCCCCAAGAAAACAATGCTGAAACAGAGCTCTCTGAAGGTGAGATGCTGAGTTTGTGTACAGAGTTTATCAATGGCGGTACTGATACATCCACCACCACATTACAATGGGTTATGGCTAACTAAGTGAAGCACCAAGAAATTCAAGAAAAGCTATATAGAGAAATCAATGCAGTGGTGAAAAGAGGGGAGGAGATCAAAGAACAAGACTTGGAAAAAATGCCATATTTAGAGGCCATAGTGTTGGAGACTTTAAGAAGACATCCACCCAGGCACTTCATATTGCCACGTGCTGTGACAGAGGACACTGTGATGGAAGGCTACGATATACCGATGAATGCCATGGTGAATTTCACAGTGGCAGAGATGGGTTGGGACCCAAATGTGAGGGAGGATCCAATGGAGTTCAGACCAAAGAGGTTTACGAGTGAGAAGGGAGGAGAAGAGAAGGTGGTGTTTGACATAAAAGGAGCTAAAGAGATCAAGATGATGCCTTTGGGTGCAGGAAGAAGGGTTTGTCCAACAATTACATTGGCATTGCTTCATCAAATTTATTTTGTGGCTAATTTGGTGAGGGATTTCAAGTGGACAAGTGAGGGTGCTGAAGAAGTTGAGTGAGAAACAAGACTTCACCATGGTCATGAAAAATCCACTCCATGCCCACATCACCCCAAGGATGAATTAAAGAATATTGCTATGGACTCATAATTTGTGCGCTAGATATTTACTCGATAGATAGAGAGAAAGAGAAAGAGAAAGAGAACAGGAAGAGCTTTCACTCCAAATGGAATCCAACCACATACATAGAATAATAATGACACTTTTTTTCTTGTGTCCTTAGCTATTAGTATATTCTCTGGACCCAAATAAACACTCCATTGATCACAACTTCTTAAAACAGATTTAAGTCAATTGGATACACTTATTTTTGTGTTGTGAAAAAAAACAACCTTGATCATGTTATTAAAAAAAGCAAACTTTCAGACTTTTTAACTAACACTTAATACTGTATTTGGTTAGAAGATTTAGAAAGTAATTTGAAAAAATAAAAGAAAAATGTGTGTGAAACTAAGTGAAATATAGGTATATTTTATTCATATTTCACCTACCTTTTCCGTTTCAGTTTCCCTTTCCAAATCTCTCAACCAAACATGGTGTAAAGAAAAGTTGTTGGATCCATGAGATTTGTCCGATTCATGTGGAGGGATGCTTTACGTGAATTGTGAGATTAGTCTAGATATGTGTAAGCTTGACTCGGACACTTAGTTATGAGGAAAAATAATAATAATAATTTGTTGGAAAATAATTCATCCCACGTGATGTAAAAACTTGGCCCTTGATCATCAATATAATAAGAGTAAAAATTAGAAAAATGTTAGAGACACTAAATATTTTATCAAATATTCTGCTAAATGTCTTATATGGGTGTAGACCCCACACAATGTGGGTCCCGTGTGGAACCTACACCCATGTGAGATATTTGGTAAAACATTTAGAGACACCAAATGTAAAATATTTGGTGAAAAATAATAAGTTTAACATACATTATTTTTCACCAAGTTTGGTAAATAATAAATGTTTTACCCTTGGTACACCAAATGTTTTACCCTTCAGGCCCCGTTTGAGCATGGTCCCAATGTTAATCAATTTGCGTAACATGAACTAAGCATGGCAGGAATCAGAGCAGATTTTGGATTAGCAAAAATATTGCAAATAACAAAATTGTACCTGTTGCACAGCAACCAAATATTTGATACCCAAAAGACTCCCATGTCGAACTTCCCATTCTGGTCTACACTGAAAAAAGAGGAAGAGACAATTAAAGCAGATGATACAGTCAGATCATATATATCTTCTTTATTGCAGTACAAACAGTGAGACTGTCACAAAACCATATATAATATAACTATAAATAATAAATAAACAGGCAAGCTCTTAAGAGAGTATTTACCTGCATTTGAAGCAAGACATTCAATGTCTCATGAACTAATGAGGAATGCATGTACTTTAGGACAGCGCCTAATGCTTGCACACAAGTTTCTCATTTTGGAGCAACAACCTGATCAGAGACATAGGCCTTGTTTGGTTTGTTTTTTAGAAACAATTTTGGAAAAAATTCTCTACAAACAAATTTTCAAGAGTAATCAAACCAATCAAATTTTTCCCAAAAAAATTTCAAAAATTTGTTTGGTTACTTACTTTCCAAAATTACTCTCTCTCTTATACACATCAAATCAATCACTTTTTTTAAAATTCTCTCCCCAAAACAATTTTTCAAAACCATTTCTGAAAAAAAAGGCAAACCAAACAAGTTTTCGCACTTTTTATCTCAAAAACTACTCTACAAGCACAAACCAAACACACCCATAGTCTCCAAAACTGCAAAAGAGAGAAATGAAAAGAGGAAAAAAAATTCAGGTAAGGACCTCCAAGAAAACTTCTCTGAACCATCACCACAATATTTGCAATTAACTCATGAATCAAAACTATAGATTATTATTATGGACAGGTGTCAATTCCTATCAGCTAACAGAAAAAATCAATAAGAAACTAGAGTTCATGACTGGAACCCAATGGAAAAACAAATTCATACCGGTCTAGTGACAATACACACAAGAAACGAATCGCAGTCTTGAAGAAATTCACAATTTTTAAGCCAAGAACGCCTAGTCACTTTAACCAAGTTCATCAGCACACAATTTTCAGGAAGACTTTTCAGTGTATTCATCTTCCCTATTGAACAATTATCTTCACAGGAACCCTTTGCCTTAAACATATCCGGATCTTCATGACCATCAATGCATGATTGAGGCTCTATCTTAACAAAACTAAGATTAAGTTCACCATTAGTTGCTGCAGCAGACAAATTCTGTTGAAATTTAATGTATAAAGAGAATTGTATTATTGATTGATATGTTGATTGATATCTATTACAATGATTCATGATTCCTATATATAGAAGAGAGGATGTGGGAAGAGAATAGGTGAGTGTGTAGTAGGTATGGAGTAGATGAGGAGTAGGTGGAGAGTAGGTGAAGTAGGTGAGTGTGTAGTAGGTGGTAGTGGTAGGTGTGTAGTAACTCATGAATCAAAACTATAGATTATTATTATGGACAGGTGTCAATTCCTATCAGCTAACAGAAAAAATCAATAAGAAACTAAAGTTCATGACTGGAACCCAATGGAAAAACAAATTCATACCGGTCTAGTGACAATACACACAAGAAACGAATCGCAGTCTTGAAGAAATTAACAATTTTTAAGCCAAGAATGCCTAGTCACTTTAACCAAGTTCATCAGCACACAATTTTCAGGAAGACTTTTCAGTGTATTCATCTTCCCTATTGAACAATTATCTTCACAGGAACCCTTTGCCTTAGCCATATCCGGATCTTCATGACCATCAATGCATGATTGAGGCTCTATCTTAACAAAACTAAAATTAAGTTCACCATTAGTTGCTGCAGCAGACAAATTCCTTTCACTATCTTCAGCCTTTACACAGGCATCAAACTTATCATCCCCACTGGCAAAGATTATTGTACTTGTAACCATTAATGGAGACGATGAATCTTCAACCTTCGGCCACTTCAGGTTTGGCTCAATCTCATCTGCTAGCACTTGCATATTCAAATCAATTTCTCTTCCTTTATCTTTTGTTTCAGAAAATGGATCATCAGAACTCAGGTCAAGCATATAAACTCCCGCACAAGCACCCTGATGGGTTAAAATTTCTCGTAGAGCCATGACACTACCATGGCAAACCTCCCAAACTGACAACATATAATCAGAGAAACTCTTATTCAGTAAAAATAATACTGGAAGATCAAAATTGCAGAAAGAATACACAAGAGCTTACCAGGAACAAACATATCAACAATGAGTTGTTCGACATAATTATGGAAAGGCCAACATCCATCTCCATCATGCTCAAAGTTGTCTTCATCAGGAATAGGATCCGAAAATGGCTACATTAAAAGAAAATTTAAAACCAAAGTTCATATAAGAAGATAGAACACAAGGAAATTAAAAGTTGATTCTTGTTTCCTTTTGTTTTCTATGTTGGGAATAATTACAGTATGAGAATAAATTTGATCCAAGCAGTATAGACAGAGACACAAGATCCGGACAAAAGCACATATCATAATGGTGAACACATAGACAAAAACACTGCAAGAGCACACAAACGCATCTCTATTAGTTTTTATAAGTATTTAAATATCTAGAGGTTAAAAAAGGACAATTTCTGAAGTTTGCTCCTGTATATTTAGGATAAAGAAAACAGGTTCAGTTTCCATTGCAAAAAGTCATGTAGCTATCCACAAAATGAAATACAACTAGTTTGAAGCCAATAGACATGTAAATTACAAAAACCACTTCTAAAAGTTATAACATAATGCAACATAACTAGCGAGAAAGAAATGAAAATAACTAGCATACACTGGCAGCACCCAAATACTATTTTAGTACCTTATTAGAGATTGATGAATCTGGACAAAAGCCCTTTGGCGACATCATATCTTGACAGTATGTTATCTCCACATCTCCATCCTTAGACCAACCTTTCGTTTGATCTTTCGAACTTATTTTTGCTTTTCGTTTTAAAAGATTCAGTTCCCTAGCACTAGGCCTTCTAGATTTGTAACCGGGTACCATATTTGAAACTAGTTGCCGGACATTGTGTACAGAATGTTGAGTATAAAATTGATGGGGTACCCCATTCCCATGGGAGTTAAATTTGTGCTCAATAAGGTCTTCATGTCATTGACATCCATGAAAAAGATTCAGTTCCCTAGCACTAGGCCTTCTAGATTTGTAACTGGGTACCATATTTGAAACTAGTTGCCGGACATTGTGTACAGAATGTTGAGTATAAAATTGATGGGGTACCCCATTCCCATGGGAGTTAAATTTGTGCTCAATAAGGTCTTCATGTCTTATCATGTCATTGACATCCATGAACTGCTCACACATATCCAAACCTGCACAAGTCAAATGTTAGTGGGAGAAGTATATGCACATAAATTTATAGCAAATACATCACTTAATAGTCATGAACTCATGGTGAAATAATTAAAGGAAAACAGATATTTAAAATATAAATAAAAATAAAAAAACAGTTTCAAGGTTTCAAAAAAAAAAAAAACACTAATTTGGGGCAGAGAAAGGCAATAACAAACATGAGAAAAATAAATAAATAAGATACTTACAACTTCTTGATGTGGGTGACTAGAAGAACGCTAATAAAGTCATCCACATACCAGAAACCATTTCAAAGTAGATAAAAGATGCCAATAGACTAGAAGGAAGAGTCTACTAGTAGTCATACCAACACCTGATAGTTATCAATAAAAGAGCAAAAGATATATCTCCATATCTAAATAAAAAAGCATTAGATACAGCCAGGACAACTACAGTCTGGAAACTTCATAAGATTTGGACTCTTCAAGTGTTCTTAAACATTATAAAAATTATACAAGCACCCAAATTAAAATATCAATAACAAACCCAGTTAAAGGAATATGCCTATATTGCTAATCCATAATAAATAAATGACAATGAGAATAAACTTATCCAATCAGCATCAGAGGCTTCGCTTTTGACGAGCCAAACGCTCCCTTGGGTTCTTCATGTTATCACTTGCAATATCGAACTCCTAAAGAGAAACTAATGTGAAAATTCAAAATGCACTCAAATTTGTTTAATGTACGGTTAAAGAGGCTGGTACCACCAACGGAAAGTCACACAAAATGTAAGACAACAAAATTGTATTGCAGAAACCAATACCAATTAAGACTGATAATGCACATACCATACCAAACCAAACTAAGCTCTGTGTCCCAATCAAGTGAGGTCAACTAATGCACATATCATACCATGACTATTAAAATCAGTTTCAATTTGGTAATTAGATTGTTTCTGTTCTTTTTTCCAATAAGAAACAGAGCTCAAATGTTAAGTTCACTAAACAAGATAAATGCCTGAAAAATAAACATTGTGCTACGAATGCTTTGTGTGGCTCCATAGAAGCACCAAAAATGATAAGAGGTCTTCACCATCAACTTCAAAGATGGTGTCCAAACCTAGCAACAGTTGTCCATCAATGTCGGGCATTGCAATTTCCAACTTCTTCTTTAAGAATCAAAGACAAATAACAAGGAGAACAGCCAAAGAATTATTTTCTGATCTCACAAGGAAGCATTTCATTCAATGCAGGTAAAGTAAGTTTCTGGTGAATGACCATAATAGTGAAACACTCATCATTCGTCACATTGGGTTTGTAATAACTCCCCCTCAAACTTGATAACATAACCATTAAGAATAAAATTAAAAAAAAATAGAAAAGCACTACAAATGGAGGGCCGGAGGCCAAGAAATTTTGTTCTTTGTATGTAATTTTTTTATAAAGAAAGTGTGAAAAGGAAATGATGGCCTATGCGTCAAGTCTGAAACAGAACTCTTAAAAGCAAAGATAGCCCTATGCTCACTTAAAATTAAGAAATACAGTCTCACTTAAAATTTTCGAGTATAGCTGCCCCTCTCTAAGCCAAGAAATCAATTATCCATTCCCTAATAAATCAAGCATTCAACAAAGCAAAATCATAACGTGAATCAAAAAGGGGAGAATATCCAAAATTTTGTGATTTTACTCCTAGCCCACAAGCAAAACATCACATCACCTTCCACCCAAATATGCCTATTAACAAATACTTTGGCATGCTATACCCTTCCAAGCACACAAAAATCCCCAATTCACTGCATTGCCACAGTCGGGACATACAAAAGGAAGCAATAACCTTCCCATTGAAATCCCTACATATTCTCCAGTTTCAATTCAGTCTTGATTTCCTGGGGAACCCCATCAAATTCAATTTCATGAATGCTGCGGCTGCCCTCAAAACAAATTCTACAGCCGAAGGCTGAGGCATTTGACTTGTAGCAGATGAGGCTGCCTTCAAATGTCTCTAAATTAAAAATATATGGCACACCCCCAAAAGGGCTTCACTCCACAAATCATGATGTGTACTAGAACATTTTACTCATGCAAACCATACAGAACAGGAAAGAAAACTCCTCCACAAAGAAATGATACCAGAACAATGAAGATATAAACGGACGCATGTCTCTTGATTTCTACATAAATCTAGGGTAGGGTAAAACGCTAAGTTTTGATCAAACCAGCCATAAAATATATTTACAAGCAAAAACTACATCTAAAGGTCCAACACCTCTTGTCCAAGAAAGTTCACCAATTTTTATTATCAAGGTCTCAAAGAAATTTGTGATTTCAAGAGACCAAAGAATAGGAAGAAAGCATACTGCCAATGTCAGCACTTTCAGATATTTAGAGGTAGTAAAGGCAAGGTAAAGAAAGAAAAAATGGCATATGCTTTCCTGCCAAAAAAAAACACTTGTGTTAAGATAAGACTTCAAGCTCTAAGAAATGGACTTGCACAAGCCTCAAAAAATTGTGTCAAAGAAAATTGTTTACAAAGATCTTCTATTACCCCTTTCCTATAGGAATGAAATTCCTCAAGGAACCATTATTCAATGCCAAGACACCTACCCTACCCTTCTTATGATGATAAACAGCAATTCAATTCACCAATCCTTTCTACCTTCTCCACTAGTCTCCAACAAAGAGTGTCTCCAACAAAAAGTGTCTCCATAACCTGTTAATCTTGAAGCCACCTTAGCTAAACTTTAAAAATAGACCAAATTTAACAAACTCTACTCACCCTTGATCACAACTATACTACTTAAGAAAATTGTGTACTACTCACCCTTTAATAGAAAGAAAATTGTATCTCCTGAAATTGAAGGTTGTAAGAACCATTTCCATCTCCTCCAACCTTAAACCCACAAAATATAACAAACTATTATGCCTTATATATCATTCAACATACAACACTAGTAAATAAAATGGGAGAGAAGACCCCGAAGAGATGAACTTGCACAGGTCTTGAAAAATCATATCATTTGCAACTCCAAAGCCCCACCCATATAAACGTTGAAATACTTTCAATCTCTGTTATCAGAATCTTACGATTCGCGATTCGATTCACGATTCGATTCCCAATTTTTGTAAAATCGATACGAATCTAAGGGTGAATCTATTTTGGAAGCGAATCTCTAGTGAATCGCACGATTCACAATCGATTCACGATTCGATCCACTTTTTACGATTCATACAATTTTTAAAATTATTGTGTCCGACATATTTTCGACTCTATTTTTCCTCCATCTTTTTATTAAAAATGACATAATACAACTTCTAATAGCGTTTAATACGAAAATAACCAGCATATATACCTGCTTTGTTGTTATTTTAGTGATCATGAAGTTTTTAATATGAACCAATTAGATTTAGTCAGACCTAACATATTTTTAACCTTTCTTCTCATTATTTTTTTTCCTTTAAAAAATCGTAATATATCTTCTAAAGATGTTTAAGATTAAAGTTACACTATGAATTATCTATTGCTATTTTATTAAATTAAATATTACATCTTTTAAAAATATTTTAGGCTTTAAAAAAAAAGATTCTAAATGATTTTTTTTTATTATTTGCTCACTGTTACTTAGAAAAGTATGTATGCTTATTATCCAAATATCAATGTCGTTGTTAATTATTGTTACTTTAGAAATTGGTAGTTTGTCTATTTGGTTATTATTTTTATTAAGAATGGTTGATAAGAAATATCTAAAAAAGAAAAAAAGGTAAGATGGTGATCTTACATTGGAACATTTGTTAACTTTTTACTTATTAAACTACGTGATTATCATTCAAAATAACATTTTTATTGATTTAAGTTTAAATATTTTATATTCATAAGATATATTTAACATCTAAATGTGTAAATATATGTTTTTAAATAATTTAGAAGAAGTGACTGAATCTTTACGATTCACGATTCGATTCGATTCGCGATTCGGTACGAGATCATTTCGATTCACAATACGAATCTCGATTTGACAACTATATATTAATAAAAAATAAAGGAATTCCTTGGAAACTAGGAGACATCAAAACCCAAAAGGAAGCCAAATAACAAATTTTATCCCATAAGCTATCCTCAGAGATTCTTAAGTTCCTCTCCAACAAATATCATTCAAAGTGCCACACAAATTACACATCTCCAAAGAACCTGTGCCTTCATATTAGAACCAATGCCCATAAATTCAAAGCAAAACTGTACACAAGAAGGTACCACCCCATATACCTTCGCAAAATCTAGCACTCTCCACCGTAGTGTCGATGCCGCAGGACAATGAAAAAATAAGTGATCATTACTCTTCTTGTCCCTTTTACACATGACACACTATTGCAGATATAAATAGCAATTTGGTTTTCTTTTTTGAATCATTTCATTAGTATTAAGTTTGTTGTGAGCCATAGTCAATGCAAGATCTTTTATTTTGAATGGCACATTTGCACTACCAATAAACTTATGGGGATCAAAGAGTGGTACATTTGGGTACGAGTTTTCTCTCCCTCTACACACCTTCTCTCTTAGGATTGATCTACTTAGAGTGAGTTTCTACCTTAGATCCTTTATTAAAAAGATAGAGTAAGTCGAATTAACTTGACTATGTCCACCATTAAATTATTTATTTATTTATTTATAATACATTAAAATTAGGCAGGGATTGGGGATTACACTCCCCATTCACGATCCCTGAAGGTATAAAATTTCCTATCTCTGACCCCGATCCTTGGGGAACCCATCACTCCCCCGCTCCCACCCCTTAACAGGGATCAGGTTTTTCCAACCTCGAAAAATCCCAACTCTTTTTTATTTTTTTTTTAAATTTTAAATATCCCATTTTTTTGTTTCATTTTTTTTAGGCAAATAAAAATAATATATAAAAAAGCATAATCCAGCAATATAGACATAAACATCTAAACAACAATAGCATGACAAACCAAATACAAAACAACACTCACACCACAAAAAACAAAAACAAAACAAAAAAAAAACAAAAACAAAACAACAACAACAACAACAACAACAACAACAACAACATCATCCAAAAAACACATGTTTTTTTGCTTAAAAAAAAAAAAAAACACTTGTGTTAAGATAAGACTTCAAGCTCCTAAGCAATGGACTTGCACAAGCCTCAAAAATTTGTGTCAAAGAAAATTGTTTACAAAGATCTTCTATTACCCCTTTCCTATAGGAGCTAAATTCCTCAAGGAACCATTATTCAATGCCAAGACACCTACCCTTCTTATGATGATAAACAGCAATTCAATTCACCAATCCTTTCTACCTTCTCCACTAGTCTCCAACAAAGAGTGTCTCCAACAAAAAGTGTCTCCATAACCTGTTAATCTTGAAGCCACCTTAGCTAAACTTTAAAAATAGACCAAATTTAACAAACTCTACTCACCCTTGATCACAACTATACTACTTAAGAAAATTGTGTACTACTCACCCTTTAATAGAAAGAAAATTGTATCTCCTGAAATTGGAGGTTGTAAGAACCATTTCCATCTCCTCCAACCTTAAACCCACAAAATATAACAAACTATTATGCCTTATATATCATTCAACATACAACACTAGTAAATAAAATGGGAGAGAAGACCCCGAAGAGATGAACTTGCACAGGTCTTGAAAAATCATATCATTTGCAACTCTAAAGCCCCACCCATATAAAGGTTGAAATACTTTCAATTACTAAGTGACATTGCAAATTTTGTTCAACAAGGAACCACCAAACCAATTTTATTGCAATTAATTCGAAGTAACTGAGAGATCATCCAAAACAGTAATAAAGAAGCACAAAGAAACAATTTTCCAAATCAAGTTGAGTACCTGTCCCCCAGATGCCAATAAAGCGCCAAACTCTAAATCCTCGTTAATATCAAAGCTGTTACAATTAAAAATAGAAATTCGTTAATGGAATAACATGGATTCCTGGTTCACTTGTGCTTCTGAACATAGAAATCAATTTGTTTTTGCAACACCAAATGGAATGCTCATGATCACATGTAAAGAATAGGAAGTATATATAGTAAAGGTGACGGGAAAAGCAGATACAAGGAGCCAGAAACAACCTTCTAAACGAACTGCTTACTACAATTTTAGAACCAAAGTTAGGCCATGCCACCACATCTTCCACAATACCAGAAATTCCAGCCCCTGACATCTTTGTCTCAGCACAACTATATAGTTCAGTCAATGTTGTATGCTTAACATTCCCTGCAATAGCCCCAATAGCATGAGCTGCAGCAACCCTTGTATCCCAGTTTTTACTGCGGAGATACTGAGAAACCTGAATTCAAGAGAGAGAAGATTAAAGCTAAAATGATCGATGTCAACTGTAAGTTAGATCTGGACTAAAAAACCAAAGTTTCACCAATAAAATGATGAATAAGAACAAAACCAATTTTCTTAAAGGCATAGTGTCATTTGTGTTATTAAACGCATAGGCTCTTTGTTCTAAAGTGATAGGTTCAAAACCCAGACAAGTCATCATGTATAAGTTTTTTGTGTGGATTTTCAGTTTGCATATCGCTACTCAAATCATAAAGTACCACAAAAGAGAGTCAAGGCAATAAGAAATAACTTGTGCAAAAGTCCATACTTTACTTAATAGAGAGCTCAGGTCTTGAGGATGTGATTTTGCAATATCCCCTACCTGCCGGGCTGCTGTAAATCTTGTTGCTTGGGATCGATTTATGGAAATGTCAAATCAAAAACCTCAGTTTGATTTTATTGTGTTCCGAGTTTTTTTTTTTTTTTTTTTCAACACTAGCTTATTATGTTTTGTGTAGGGTTTGCCCCATTTTTTATTTAATAAGGGCAAACCGAATACACCGACCAACCAAGCCCTTTCAAAATTCTGGATTGTCGGCTTGGTTGTCTCCCTTGATCAGGTCTCGATTTATGTGAATATCAAATCAAAAAATCAAAAAATGCGGCTTAGGATTATTTTATGTTCCAATTTTTATTTTATTTTTTTTGGGTTTTGAAATTTTTTTTTAGCACTAGCTTATTATGTTCCATTATATGGTTGTCATAATTTTGTTTAATAATGGCAACCGAATAACCAGTAGGACAATTTTCATTGTATTTGAACAATAACTTCTGTTTGTGTACTTAACAACAAACGGAATACAGAAGAATAAAAGAAATGAGAGAGTTTGTTTGATTACAAAAATCAAATCAGAAAATAAAAATAAAATAAATAAAACAGATTTTGATTTTGTTTTAGAAATAAGTTTTGAAAGTTTTGGAAACACAGCAATTTTTTTTCAACTTTGGTCTAATTTTTAGGTGGGACCCATGTGCCAAATTTGGCGGGTCTAAGTGGTAACGCGTTCTATGCCTATTGTGATTCACGTAGTATATTTGTTTGCTCAAAACCATTATCGAGTGAATGAAAAATTGAAGCCAAAGCGAACTCCATGGAAATGGAGTTTTTGGTGAAAATTCCTTAAGGTTTGGTTTAAGGCTTGTCCCACATTGATTTGGTGGGCAAACTTTGAGTGGGTTTATAAGGCTTGAGTTTGGAACTTAGACTAGGCTCCAAGGGGCACCCAAGTTTTGTAGGGAGAGAGGTTATAGAAAAAGTGGGCTAGATCCATTGGACCCAAAATAAACACACTCGAGCGGGCTAGGTTGGGCTTGGGCACGGGTGCGTGGCATGAGGTTGGGTTGGGTTTGTCTGGCCCAATATTTATCTTTTTAGGTTAAAAACATTTGAATTTTATTTTATTTATTTAGAAATAAAATCTGTCCATTTTTTATTTCAAATTCTGGTTGAAAATAAAATTCAAATTTTGGTTTGCACCTCTTCAGAAATTCTATACAGTTTCGTATCTGTCCAAACCGAATTTGTTCAAATTCAAATCCACCCAAAACAGGTTTTTAACTATTTGAAATTCAAACCAAACAGTGCCTTACCTGTTCAAACAAATTTGTATCTGTTTAATTTAAATTGAACAAGTACTGTACCTGTTTAATTCAAACCAAACAGCCACCACTCCACTTATATAAATAGGCAGTCCTTCATTTGGATTTTCACTCCAATTTTCGTTCTTCTCTGTTGCCATTTATCTCTGCATTTTGCTGCATTAATTACTTTAATTTTCTGTGAGAAAAAGTGTAATTAATTTTTTGTGAGAAAGAGTATATACACAAAGTGTGTTCGTTGTGCAAACAATTTATAGTGCTGGTATTGTTTGCTGTTGATCATTTTATCCTGGGAGATAGTCGTCCACATTGTAAAAGTACCGTGGAGAGGACGAATTTGTCTTAAAAATACAGTGTTAAACACTGGACTTGATCAGAAAATTTGTTCAACAAAATTAATTTGGTAAGTAATTAATTTACTTTTCTGTTTTATTATTTTTCCTGTTTCAGATTTTGATTTTATTTTTGTAACAAAATAAGAATCTGTTTTATTTATTTTATTTTTATTTTCCGGTTTGATTTTTGTAATCAAAGAAACTCTCTCCTTTCCTTTATTTCTTCTATATTCCATTTGTTGTTAAGTATACAAACAGAAGTTATTTTTCAAATACAGTGAAGATTGTCCTACATAACCGAATAGAACAACCAACTGAACCATTTCAAAATTCTACACGGTTGGCTTGGTTGTCTCTTTTGACTGGTCATGATTGATTTATGTGAGATGTCAAATTGAAAATTTCAGTTTGATTTTATTTTTTGTTCTAATTTTCTTTGGATTTTGCATTTTTTTCAACGCCGTTTGGTAACACTTACGTTTTCAGTTTTCAGTTTATATTTACAAAAATTTAAAAAACTCAAATAAGAACTTGTTTGGTAAATTTTTTATTTATAAATTAGTGGTCTCAGTTTATAAATTTGGCCAAAAAATGTAAACTCAAAAAATGTGTTTCCGTTTTGAGTTTTGAGTTTTTTTTTTTTTACCACCCAACACTAGCCACCGCCCGCCACCATTTTCCACCACCGTCTTCCGCCACCACCACCCACTACCCTACCTACGGCTGGGGGAATCGTCGGGGGATGGACTGCTTCTTCGTCGGCCTTCCAAATTCGTCACACCACCCAATCCAACTGACACATGGCTGAGGTTAAAAAAAAAAATTAGTAACGGTTTAAGAAGGAACCATCACCCCCCACCCCCCTGCCACCCACTTGCCCCCACCACCCGCCCCCCGCCACCACCCACCACCACCACCACCCACTCGTTACCACCTATCACCCGCCACCCTCACCCACCCACCCACCACCACCACCACGATCCGTCACCTACCCGCCACCACCCACCACCATCTGCCACCTACCTGCCACCACCACCCGCCACCGTCACCCACCCACCCATCCACCATCACCACCCGCCACCACCCGCCATCCACCACCCATCTGCCACCACCATCCACCCACCCGTCACCGCTTTCCACCACCGTCTTCCGTCGCCACCACCTGCCACTTGCCACCACTATCACCCACCCAGCCACCCACTCGGCACTTGCCACCACTTTCTATCACCGTCTTCTACCACCATCACCCACCACCTGCCACCATTTTCCACCACCGTCTTCCACTACCATTTTCCACCACTCGTCACCACCCACCACTACTTGTCATTTCTCACTTTTTTTTTATATTTTTAAAATTTTTTAAATATTTTGTCTAAACCAAACGCATTTGTAGTTTATGTTTTTCTAAAAATAAACAAAAACCAGTTTATAAAATTTTTATGAATATAAACTAAAAACGTAAACATTACCAAACAGACCTACCTAACTGATTAGGTTTTGTATATGGTTGCCCTAATTTTGTTTAATAATGGCAAATTGAATACACAAACCAACCGAACTGTTTTAAAATTCTACACGATGAGCTTGGTTATCTCCTTTGATTGGTTAGGTTCTTTTTTGTGAATTTCAAATCAAAAAGTTTTGTTCGGTAGAGAAACCACCTTGGACCTCGACCAAACTACACTAATTTCAATCCTACTTGTAACATAGCAGGATGTTGGGACGCCTAAATTCTCAAGAAATCCCGCCTTAGACGGCAACCGAGCTGCACTTATTTAACCACTACTTCTAAGACAACACATAAGTTGAGGACACTTTAAATTCTGGACTTCCATGCATCTTGTAACATCCATTAGTTCTTTGGATCTTTGGTCTATGTTGCTTCAAACTTAAAATATCGTTTTGTGGCTAATTTTTGTCCTACTTTATTACGGGCGATCAGAGAATGACCAGATTTAATATTTTGATAAATGCTGAATAAGAAAGTTTTGGAAAAATGAACATCCAAAATGCATTTGCCAGGCAATACCTAACCTTTCTTGATTATCGAGGTACCCTACTCTACAGTAAAACGATACCTGTAAAGTACATTGATTCCTCTACCAAACTACATTGATTCCTTAAATGCTTCAAACTTAAATATCATTGATTCCTTAAAAGCTTCAAACTACATTGATTCCACCAAACTACATTTGCCAGGCAATATCATTTTCTTTTCTTTTGCTCTTTTGCTCATTTTTTTGTTACTTAAAGCTTCTGTGTGATGGAGAAATCACCATAGACCTCCACCAAACTACATTGATTCCTCCCCTACTTCTAACACAACGTAAAAGTTGGGAACCCCTAAATTCTCAAGTTGCATGCTTTTGCAACACCCAATGGGTCTCTAGATCTATAATTCACATAGCTTCAAACTTAAAAGGTCGTTTTATGGCTAATTTTACTCGTACTTTATCTAGAACAATGTGATGATTATTAGATTCACTAGTTGGTAAATGATGAATAAGAGCATTTGGGAAATGTAAAACCAAGATTTTGCATTAGCTAGGCCCCTATCCAACCCTTCCTGAATATTGGTACCATTCTCTTCGATTTTTCCAAGTGAATGAGCTTCATTTAAAGGAGTTACGTTCTTATTTTGTATTCTATTTTTTGTTTCTATATATCGTTTGCTCTGATTTTGTTAAACAATGGCAAATTGAATACACTAACCAATCGTTTGAATTTCAGTTAGTTTGGTTCTCTCCCCTGATCGATCACAATTGATTTATGTTATTGTCAAACTGTACCAATTTCACAGTGTGAAAGTTGAAGACCCTTTTGTTCTGGAGTTGCATGCATTCTGCAACTCCCAGTGACTCTTTGGATCTTTGGACCACATAGCCCCAAACTCGAAAGATCGTTTTATTGTTAATTTTTCTCCTACTTCATCAAGAACGATGAGAGAATGTTTAGATTCAATTCTAACATAATGTGAAATTTGTGGACCTCTTAATTATGGAGTTGTAAGTTAATCACATATGTTTGTTTCGTTGTCGTAGTTGCTGGTTTGTCTCGATCATGCCATTGTCTCATGTTTAGTTTAGGATTGTCATGCATTAATCATATATTATCTTGTTTTCTGCCATTATTGCATGCTTGTTAATTTACATGTTTTTTAGTGTTTGATTGGCATCATTATAGTTATTAGTTTGGTTTCATTGCATGCATATTTGTTACTAATCTAGTTTTTGAATTGTGTGGAGTTTTGAGTACAGGGATCATGTATGAAGAAAAATCCTCTTCTTTGTTCACTCTCTAGTTTTGTTGCCACTATTTGATGTAAACCCCTTCCCCAAAGCTTTGCAGTTGTGATTTTGGTTGGAGTGGTAACATAGAGAGTTAACAAAGAAGAGGCGACTAGGTTTATTTTTGTTTCTTATTGCTTTATTTTGGACTATTGAACTATTGGACTTAGGATATTTTTTTTGGGT